TAGCACTGTTATCAAAAGATTGGTACATCAAATGAAACTTTGAACTGATCCATTGGGTTTTGCTTATGTTCTGAGAATTGTGGTTCTTAGGGCATAAATAATAATTTGCTATCTGAAGGAAGCCTTAAAATTTTATGGAGGAAAGAAAACTCTCTTTAGAGAAAGAAGCGGTGGTAGAAAAAAATAAAACAAAAATATTGGGGAAAAATGATATTAACACAGGCAATAAACCATTCTGGTCAAATACCTTTATCTTTGTGGAATAAAATACAGATGTTAATGGAATTTAATGAACTACTTCCAAAATGACTGAAACAAAAAAAGTGTATTTTTAATGTTCTGGGTAGTGATACAAACCAGCCAGCTGCTTGAAGCTGCACCCAGCTTTCTATTTTGACACTTTCCTGTTTTTGCCTGTGGGCAAAAAGCTCTGTCCATAGGGGTTGGACCTCATCAGGCAGCATAACAAGACCTAGTGAATTATTCTTGTCTTTCCGAGAGATTCCTACCAGATGCATATAAATATCTAGGTCTATATTCCTAAGATACAGAATTTCCATTAATATCTCAAAATCAGCAGAAACATTTTCATTAATGCCCAGGTTAAAACATACTGGATATAACGCGGATATTCCTCAAGTTCTTTTTGAAAATTTCAAGTAAAAAAATATAAGGCAATATAAGTAGAGATTTGAAGTAAAGCATGATTTTGAGGGACGTTTAAAAATAAATTGTCATTCCATTTTTCTTTCACAAAACACTAAGCAGCATAAACTCTAGAAATCTTTGTCGTTTGCTTTTTTTCTTTTAGCTATATTCATGGATAGCAGAATTGGACCTTCTCATAAATGGTTAAGTGATATAGTCTGAGCCCTCTTTGGAATATGGAGCAGGATTATGGTTTTTGGTAGGGGTTATTTTTCCCCATATGCAATTTGTGAAAGTAACATTTGCTTTCTGCTAAATTGCCCATTTATTGTTTCTGACTTTGAAGTTAAAGTTGATATTCAGCATAAAACAGCAGGACCACCTTGTTGATTTTGATGAATCACTACTGATTATGGTATCCCAAACATGACCTATCAAGCCACACAACTTTCCCCAATTTCCTTTGTAATGTCTGACACAATTCCTCTATCTCCCTAGAATCTACTAAAGATGCACTATCGCTGTTACTATGTCTGTCTGTAAGTCTTAAACAGTCAAACTTGAACATTAGAACACATTGATTTGTATTGCAGGAACTGAGTTTTAATGAGCATGTTTCATTCTTTCCTTCCATTCTTATTTTAAGTATCATTTTTATTACTGATCGATGAAAGCTTCTTTCATATCTCTTAGAGCATTTGGAATTTCTAATTTAACAGAGATGCACTGAGCAGGTCTCATCCGGTGTTCTTGTATAACAGGTGCAATTCAGCTTCATTCTAAACTGTTCCAGTATCTTTCTTGATATCCACCATATGAATAGAGCATTCCACTTCATTATACAGGTGAGCCGAGAATAATAGGATTAACCTCTGTGTCTTTTTCAAGTCAGGAATGAGGGAGGAAGGGAACTTAGGGAATTAGTCAATTATTCCTGGAAATCACATTCTCTGCAGCTATGTGTAAATGGAATGTTAAGACTTTTTACATTTATCACATTCTTAAGAGAGTTGTTGGCCCAAAGGCAGCAACAGCAGAACTTGCAGCAACCTGCTAATAATTCAGACCCATATCTGAACGGAGAAGAATTGCCTGAATCGAAGTAAATATTTGTAGAAGTCTCTTTCCTTCCTCTTAAAGTTTTCTGAGGTAGTTAAATGATATACAATAAAAGAAGCTTTTTAGTAATTCCCTTTAAAAGATGGCTTTGGTATAAGTAGGAATGGCAGAGAGACAGGCAAGCACTGCTTTTGTCAATTCACCAAACTGCCATGGACAGGCTCCACTGATTTTTCAACATGAAAGGTTGGCTGCGTGCACAGTTACCCTCTGCTGTGGCAACATATACATTATGTTTAGGATGATTTTCTTTGCTTTGATGAATATGGATGGGACCCAGCTGATCAGCTCTACAGAACATGCATTTTCTAGCATAGATCTGTGCTCACTCTTCAGAAGCAAGTAGCTAGAATCCATGTATGAGGTGCTGCCCTATAATGCACAGATGAAAAAACACAGGAATGCCAATTCAATGGCATGGATTTGCCCTAGTAACTCTTCCCCCAATTCGATGAGTTTCCTCAAATACCATTATATGACATTATAGTCCTGCCTTCATTGTAGACAATAATCATGCAGCTAGATGTATCCTTAGTCAATCCATCCCATGCTGCCTGCACTGCTAATGCCATGGGGGAGCCCAAGACTGAGCAATGCTTTATGAGAAAAAGAATAATAGTTTTGTTTAACAGCAAGCTGTTATTGTCATTTCTTTCCTGTTAGAATTCATGTGTTTTCAGGGGTGAACATGAACAGTTTTGTGTATAAGCGCCAAGCATTCATCAGAATAACATCAACTGAACATATTCTTGAGAAGGCAGGAATTTGAAAAAGCCAAAAGGCAGACTGGCATACAAACAATTGTTTTCCTAAAGATTTCAGTAAGTAAAATTAATGTTATGTGACCCAGTGGATTTAAAGTTGAGGTAATTATATCAAGATCCAAAGTGGAGCTTTTTCCACATGGAATAAAAAAGTATTTGGCTGCCCTCTAGTGGTTGCCTTGGCTGGTACTAGAAATAGCATGGCTAATACTCTTACCCTCCACATGTTCATGCTTTCAGGGTTCAGTCCTGCTATTTGGTTAACAAAAAGAAAACTCCTTGAAGTGCACGCTCTCCTAGTGAAAAATATAATGGGCATTTGAAAAGGCAACAGATAATTTGCTTTTTGTCATCTGATCAATTTGGTCATCTGATTTTTTGCAGCCCATTTCCCCCCCCCCCCTTTAAATCACACACATACTCTTCTGGAGTATAAATTTGGGTTCTTATGGGGTAATAACTTTTACACCTAGGCTACCTCTGGTCAGCCCATTTTACCACACAAAGATAGTTGGAAAGTAATCCTGAATTAGTTAAAAAGAACATAAACTGAAAGTTATTTATATTCTCTCCCAATCAAGCCAATCCCATTTCCCTGAAACATGACGTGAAGCTTATGGGAGGGGAAAGGAGTACAAAGATATTCCTTGATAAAAGAAGATGCAGAGTCAAATGTAAGGGCTTTGGGATTTATATACACAAGTAGCAACTGAGCGAATGCAGTCTCCACTGAAAGTTTGCTTGAATTGATCAGAGATTATGTGAAAGGTGCAGCTGCCAGCTTGACACAGGACTAGGTGTTTTCATCAAATTATGAGACATGAATGCATAAAACTTATTCTCTCACCTTTAAGCAGAAATATGAATTAGCTAACAAAGATACTATTAATACCTCATAGGGACATACATGTTTAATTATTTTTGCCCCAGAGGCATAGCATCAGATTAACTGACCTATACATGCTGAGAGCTCACCTGTAAAGTCACCACACAAATGAAAGTTGTTATAAGGAAAATAACACCTTTTCTGAAATTTGCCATTCAAATAGACTGCTTTTGACTCTGAATGAAGAAGCTTCTATCCATAAGCCACTAGAATTACAGGAAAACCTCACTAAATGACAGAATTCCTTATCGCACTTCAGTGAGAGATTAAGCTTTTCAAATGGCAAAATAGCACGTCAAATGAAGGTTAGCTTTCTTTACTTTGACATCTAGCTGTCAAGATGTCAAGAAGACGACTGTCAAGATGTCAAAAAGAGGATGTCAAAATGTCTAGATGTCAAGAAGAGGATTCAAAAGTTCTCACCTATATCCTCACGTCTCTCTTAGAAGACAGTGCAGCGCCTTGCCTAAGGCCTAGATCATTCTTCATATGAGGAAAAATAAAGTGATTCCTCCCTCCTGATGGTCATAAGTCCACCCATTATATCAATGAGCCAAGAGTTGCAGAAGGCAGCATAAAGAAAAATCAAGGCAAATACGGCTGATGTCTGTAAGAAATTTATTTTAGAACACTGCCTTCTGAATCGAGAGAAAGTTTTCAGGAACATCTTTTGTTTTAAAGAAATTAAATAAAAGCTGTTTCTTATACTTTCACAGATCAGAACGATTAATTTGCAACTCCCTCACTATGACAGTTAATGGGTGTGATGTGGAAGATAATAGATTATCCAGGAGAACTCCTCAGAAGCATGCTACTGAATGTCATATAGATGCTCCTTTGTGACTGGAAATGGCACAGCAAGCAGCCAAAGTAGTATATGTTAAAAATGACAGGTTCGTAGTCTTTCACCCCGTATAAAATAGCAAGACCCTTCAGAGCTTTGCTTGCTTAATTATACCACTGAAGACAAAACCTTTGAATTAGTTCAGCTTAAATCATATTTGTAGGCAAATGTTAGCCACCTCATAGAGAGTATGTCAACGCTGTGACAATGGATGTCGTCGCTCTGACGCCTGAGAATCAGCAGCCATTTTTATTTTTGCTTCCAACGTGCCTTTTCTATTCTTTTGGAGTTCAGATGTAGAAGGGGGATGAGATGAATGCTTGAGGGTTTAGCTAGCCATAACAATGTAGAAGTGTGGGAACTCAAGGACATGATTTGATAAGATTTGGCGGGCTGAGAGGCCGGTGAGAAAAGCCCGTGTCTTGTGTTAATTGGGGAATGTGATTTATGACAGCAATTGTGGGATGGGAATTTCAACTTGTTACTTTGTATCTGGGGGGAGGGAATCTCATTTTTGGGTTCAACTATGTGAGTGCCGATATTTTGTTTCCAAATAAAATATTCTTTAAGGAAGAATTCTTGCCTTGAAGTTCTTTTACTGGTTTCATCTATCAAAACCACTGACTGGGGAAATGTCAAGAATTTTTCCCCATCCAAAATAAGGGCACATTGGAATTTGTTTCCAGCACTTCATCTTGCACTGTTTTCCAGTATTTTTTTTCTATTTTGAGTGGGAGAATGAAATAACAATTGAACAGGTACATCCTACTATTTTACTCCTATTTATTGGAGATGAGGGAAAATACAGAATAGGGACTTGCCTGGAGAAAGAGTTGTACAATACAACACAGGCAGTGTGTGCAAGAGGCTGGTTGTAGGTCTGTGAAAGACTCCTGGCTGAACTATAACTGGGGGAACTGAAGACCTAACTCACTAGAGGGATTTTTAAATATTCCTCTCTGGACAGAGACAGCTGGGATTCACAATCATTGAAGCACTGCATCATTGAATCAATATATATTCAAACCTTTGCCAAATGTAAACCTTTTATGATTCCAACTCTTTTACCTTTTTAATAAATGAGATTTAAGGATGTTTTCACAATAGATTTGTGCAACTTCTAATTCATTGTGAAGGAGGGAGTATGACAATATACATTAACTGACATTTCAGACATCATACATTATAAACATAGTACAAATATACCAACATACCATATAATTAAATAACTGAAACCAATAAAAACAATGGTATAATAAACAAGTGCTTTTTTCAGACTAATTCACTTCTGAACAGACAAATTAATGAAGTTCTTAAAAGAAACAAACCTTTTAAAAAACAGTATCAAGTTCAACAATTATTTAAAAGTGACTTTTAAAAAAACCAATAGAAGTAGCAAATATTTTTAAGGATTACAAATGTAAGGATATTTCCAACGAAGGATAGCACCATCAGCACTCACACTCACAATTAATTTATTGTTAGGACAGATCTTCAGGCGGGTTATGCTGCCACTGTGACCAATCCCAACAGAAATCACTTCACCTTCATTATAATCCCACACTTTTACTAGATGGTCATCACCTCCTGTAGTATAAACAAGAGAGAACTGTCAACACTCTGCTTAGTAGCAGGCAGAGAACTATAGTTAGCAGCAAGATTTGTCAAAAACAGATCATGCCAGACAAATCTTATTGCATTCTTTGACCAGGTGACAAAATTAGTGGACCAGAAGAATGCTGTGGATATAATTTACTTGGACTTCAGTAAGGCATTTGATAAAGTAGATCACAACCTACTACTTGATAAGATAGAAAAATTTGGGTTAGACAGCATCACCACCAGATGGATTCATAGCTGGCTGACCGGCCATACTCAGCGTGTAATCCTCAATGGAACTGCATCTATATGGAGGGAAGCGTGTAGCTATCTAACAAAATGAAATTCAATGGTGAAAAAAGTAAGGTTCTACATTTAGGCAAGAAAAAAACAAATGCACAGGTATAGTATAGATGTTCCTTGCTCAATAGTAGCAACTGTGAGAGGGATCTTGGAGTCTTAGTGGCCAATCGCTTAAATATGAGCCAGCAGTGTGCTGCAGCTGCCAAAAAAGCCAACACAGTGCTAGGCTGCATTAACAGAGGGATAGAATGAAGATCACGTGAAGTGTTAATACCACTTTACAATGCCTTGGTAAGGCCACATTTGGAATACTGCATCCAGTTTTGGTCACCATGATGTAAAAAAGATGTTGACACTCTCGAAAGAGTACAGAGAAGAGCAACAAAGATGATCAGGGGACTGGAGGCTAAAACATATAAGGAACGGTTGCTGGAATTGGGAATGTCTAGTCTAATGAAGAGAAGGACAAGGGGTGACATGATAGCAGTGTTCCAATATCTCAGGGGCTGCCACAAAGAAGAGGGAGTCAAGCTATTCTCCAAAGCACCTGAAGACAGGACAAGAAGCGATGGATGGAAACTAATCAAGGAGAGAAACAACCTAGCACTAAGGAGAAATTTTCTGACAGTTAGAACAATTAATCAGTGGAATAACCTGTCTCCAGAAGTTGTGAATGCTCCAACACTTGAAGTTTTTAAGAAGAAACTGGACAGCCATTTGTCTCAAATTCCTGCCTGAGCAGGGGATTGGACTAAATGACCTCCAAGGCCCCTTCCAACTTTATTATTATTATATTATTATTATTATTATTATTATTATTATTATTATTATTATTATTATTATTAGTAGTAGTAGTAGTAGTAGTAGTAGTAAGATATGGTAGAGAAAGTTTCAGTTTTGGTCTCCAGTCAGCCAACGGTGTTTTCTTTGGATGGCCTCCATTCCATGTTCTCATTTTATGTTTAATGTGAGAAGGAGAGACTCTACCAGGAGGGAGAGATAAAATAAATTCTAAATTATTGGTTGTTGTTGTTTTTTTAAAAAAAAACTTACCAGTCACAAAATACAAGCCATCTGTTGTAATATCCATTCCATTGATAGAACCAGAAAGGGAGCCCTCTAATTCTCTGATTGGGGATCCATCAAATACTTCCCAGTAACCAATCTAGAATCCAGAATAAAATTGAATAAAGGAAAGTCATAGAACACTACTTTTCTACAATAATTAATTACAGTAATTGGAGTCATGCAACTAGGTGTGATTTGTTATTTATTCAAATTTGTTATAGCCACCCAGCTCCAATGGATTCCAGACTGCCAAAAGTTTCTTGGATTGCAGCAGTATAGAGAATGAATGAATGAATCCTTACCTTCCTATCTGTGCCACTTGTGATAAGCTGATGTTCATCAGGGTGATAGCATACACATTTGAATAAAGTATTGGCCAATATCATCTGCCGTCTCATGAAGTGGCTAGGAAAAAAAATCAGCTTTTGAAATGACATTTAACTAAATACCTTACCAATAACTCTTGCTTTTTAGGAGCTGCTCTACTATTTTTGCCTCAGCCAAAAAACAAACAAACAAACCCTAATCTAAAATCAATATATTGACTAAACTAAAAGCTAAATAGAGTTAGCCTTGATTAGTATTTGGGGGACCCTCTGGAGAGCCACAGCTGTACCCTAATCTGAGAAGTTGAACAAATATTTAGGAACATAGCAAAAAAAGTGCTGCTTCTCTATCGTGCTAGAAAAACTGCATGGATTCATTCAGGAATCCGTCTTTCAAAGCAACTTTGTATTTACTACTGATCTGTGATGAAGCAAAGAATTACCGTAAGTCTCTAAGTTTCTAATACATATGAAAGCATAGGGACTGTCTGCTTTTTTCACACAATATACCCAAGTCTGGCATCTGTCTGTGATCCAATTATTCATTCTATGAAAAAAGAATTTAACTCAGTAGTATAACTGAGCCATACTTCTATGCAAAAGTGATCTTACACAAGATCCCAGATAATGCATGTTCCATCAGTGCTGGCTGTGACACACTCCTGATTATTCTTCTTTATCTTGATGCAAGAAATAGCAGATACGTGTTCTTTCATTACTTCTTCTAGTTTGCGTGTTTCCTTCCCAACTTCCCATACTCTCACCTGATAGAAACATTATTTAGCATTCATGCCAAAATGGTATTTGAAGGATCTTGCAGTTCATAGATTTTTGGGATTTGTGGATTGTGATTTGTGGCACATAAATATAAATCAATTATTATCAAACATTAAACATTAACATATACCTTTCATTCTCTTTTAAAGAAAATGCTATACTTGGTATTTATCTATGTGACCAGCCAATTGCTATTTTTTATTGCAACAGCATAGAAATATGTTTGGTAATATCACTACTCAGATTCTATCTAGCATGGCTGAATTATCATTTAATATTATATTCAGAGCATAAAGACATACTTGTTGATGAAATCTGCAAGGCACATCAAGTTGAGGGGCTCTTTACCTGACCTTCACCACCTCCGCTGATTATTCTTTTGCAGTCACTTGTGGTAGCCACAGCTGTCACACCCATACTATGAGCATGCTCAACCACGTACATCAACCGCCCAGTTTCCGGGGTGAAGGCACGGATTTTTCCATCATTCCAAGCTAACACAAAATAAAAGGAGTTTGCTAAGAGCAGTATATCTCTTTTTTTCCTCCCTCCTAAAGTAAGATTTCTGTAACTCAGTGGTCAGTACAGCTGATTATTCAGTCTCAAGAGCAGGTAATTTGAAGAACCTATTCCTTTTAAGAAAAATATGTACAGTAGATGATGGATAGAGCATATTTTATCTCTTATCATGAGGTGAGCCTCAGCATTTTCTATTTAATTGAACAAAGCTGTACAGCATAAGCCAGCAGGGATTCATTAGTTCACAATGCCAAATGATGAAATTGAGAATTACAATTCAATGTACCATAGTTGTTTATCCCTATCCTGCAACCTTGCCTTCTCTAAATGCAGCCAAAGTATTTTGCAGTACTCTAAGAACTTAGCAAATGGCCTTAATAGTTTTGGTAAGTGACAAAATGACTACTTAAAACAGAAGAATTCATGATTGATACAATCCTTCAATAAGCCAGACATTCTAAAATGCTTTCACCTGAAATGATGCTTTTGCCATCCCTCATGAAATCTATGGCGTGACAAGTCATGTTGGGGACCGTAATCCGCAGCAGCTCCTTATTTTCAGGTGTATACCATACACGAATATCATTCTTGGAACATGTGGCAAACAAGTCAGATGTACCACTACAGGGTACAAAAAACAAAACTTTGAAGGCACAGACCTGGCTATTGCTGCTGCTACATTTTTGCAATTTGTTATTGAATCTCAATAAGTAAATTACAACAGAATAAATTTACAATAACTCTTGTTGCAACAAAGTCACTGGATTTTTACCTGATTTTTACCCAGAATTTTTGAAAATTCTTCTTTTCAGAAGAAACTTGAAAAGTTTGATTTCAGTTAAAATATGAATTCCATAATCGTATTTAAAGCAACTGATATCTGTATATTAGCTGCTTTAAAACTGCTTTAATTTGAGGAATGAAATCTGGCTCCTTTTAATATACTTGGAGCCAAAGAATACTCTCATAATAATTTAGAAATTAATAGCAAGGCAAATGTCACAAATTTTGATCCTTACTCCTGGAAGGCAAAGGATACAGTACTGTTAGCCTTCTGAAGTTGTCCTGATCAGGAAGCAGTCTCGACAAGGAGGCTAGAACGATGCTTTAATGAGTTAGACTATAAAAATGTTGCAAACAGAATGTTGCAAATTAGACCCACATTTCTCCTTCCCTTCCTCTTATTCTACAGGAAGACTGAAGTACTGCTAGATACTGACAGTTCTGGTCTACTCTGGAATAAGTCAGTTTGTCATTTATTTATTTTTATTTGTTTATTCAATTTCTATAGTCACCCAACTCAATGAAATGACTCTGGGCACAAAATACGTAAATACATTCACAAAGTAAATTAGTAAAAACTGCAGCTGTAAGGATCATCCACATGTTGTTTAGAAAAAAAAATGAGGAAATTTAATATTTTGATCTAAATGAATTTGATCTTTGGAAAGATACATCCCAAATTATTTTGGGGATCATGCAAGACAAAAAAATATATTGAGACATAAGTATACATATATTTCTCAACACTGCCTATAGATCTAGTTGTAGAACCTGGAGTCGTTTGAAGAATATGTCAAATTTTACATAAAGTAAGAAAACAGAAGCATACTGATAGTTCAAAATATTTGAAATCAAAAAGTAAGACAGATTTAAAGGGAGTTTTATAGAAGGCGGCCAGCAAAATGTGTCTTTATCACATTCATGTTATTTTTTCATTCCTTGATTATCCACTATATTTCTTTTCAGATCACCTTGCTTTTTAATAAAACATACTTAACTCAAAGTACTGAGATCCTATTTGATTCCATGAATATCAGGATGGTTTGGGGGAAAAACACAAATCTTATATGTGAAGACTGTTTCTGGATTTTAAAAAAACATACTTATATTTCTCCTGGGAAAACAATTTTATTTTCTTTCTTACACACATCTGTTCAAATATCATCAAAATAAATGTGAAAGATAAGTTTGCATAATATCAGTTCTGAATATTTTACTGGCAGAATTTATGTGAACAGATACCAAAAGCAGAATACTGTAACCATTGAAAAGTGGAAAAACTACAAAAGCATCAGACAAGACAACAAATTTTATAGTTTTCTCTGGTTCTTGCATCTTCCAAATAGCTAGAGTCTCCAAATGGCTAAAGTTCACTAGCTAGTTAATTCCAATTATTATTATTTCTTGTAAAATAAGAGGAACGATTATTTAAGCACATCCTTACCCTCCTAGCTGAAAACTATTACAACTACCATACATTTCCATTTGAACGGAAGAAAAAAATTATTTGACTTATACTTACTATGGGAAAATTATATCATTGATAGCCTCATTATGGCAAGTGGCTATGAGCTCATCCTTAAAGTCAGAATATGAGAATCGGTAAATCTGTGACTCATTTGTGCCCACAAAAAATTGGTGGCCCTGGCCTCGTGGTGTGATAGACGTGATAGCACCTTCTAACTGAACTTTTCTGTAAAACAAAAATGAAAGTTTTGCACAAAAGATAAATGGGTTTCTGATGACTCAATCTTCCCAAGTTCTTAGGGTTTTTTTTTCTTTTTACAACTTTTCTCCCTTCAGTGATAGCCAATCTTAGCAATCTCAGCAATCCAGAAATATTTTAGCAATAGCACATAGACTTATGGTATATACCACTCCATAGTACTTTACAGCAGAGGTTCCCAACCTTTTGGGCACCAGGGACTGGTTCCATGGAGAAAGATTTTTCCATGGACTGGAGAGTGCATGGTTTTGTGTGCTGCCTACATCCCCGGATGGGGCTTGGCTTGTTTGTGTGGACCGGTTGCTGGCATGCCGTAGCCCAGTACCGGTCCACAGACCGGGGGTTGGGGACCCCTGCTTTACAGCCCTCTCTAAGCAGTTTAAAGAGTCAGCATATTGCCTCCAACAATCTGGGTCCTCATTTTACTGACCTCAGAAGGATGGAAAGCTGAGTCAACCCTGAGCCAGTGAGAATCGAATTGCTAGCAGTCGGCAGAATTAGCCTGCAATATTGCATTCTAACCATTGTGCAAATACACTCGTACTTTTAAATCTAAAGGTTAAAGTGTAATTATCACAGTGTGGATTTTTCCCCTCTTTTATTAATGCTAATTCATGAATTAAAAAAGAAATCTCAGGAAAGAACTGCTAATATTTTAAATAATCTATTCACTGAGATTGCTTTATTTATTGCACAATTAGCATCCATGCATTTTAAATTGGTACTTCAGAGTTGAATTGTTGAGCTGAAAGACATCACATTAAATTAGCAATTATATCATGCTGTGCGCTTTGGCTTATTTTTTTGCCCTGTATGTCTCCAAAATTGCAGTCCTCTGTTGTTGAAGAGTGTCCCAGGTAGCCTGGGAAAGATCAAGCCTCCCTTTCCCCCAGATAGATAAATCTAATGTATTTCATCTTAGACCCTATGGCAGCCGTATCTTACAGTTCTGACATCAACAAAAACATAAAGGGAGTGGGGCTGAAATGTGCTTTAGATCCCACACATCACTGACTTGGGGCAGGGAAAGAGAATGTATGTTAACCCTGAAGCTACTATGCACAATTTCTCTGGAGGGGACATTTTTAAAAAGTGGCGAAGGGAGGGAGGAGAATGCGCTTCTTCTCTCTGTTTGTATATCATCATAAGCCTATCAAGGCTTTGGATAAGGTGGCTCATACACCTACGGATCTCTCCATGGACTCAAAATAACCCACTCTCTTCATTGTAGGTACCTTTTGCATAACAATGTCCTTGCCCAAGAAAATTCAGAAACTCACTTGATTATTTTATACTTGGATCCCGAGCAAACGGCTAAGATTCCAGCTCCAGTGCCAATGACCAAGTCACCCGCTTTCAGCAAAAGCAAAGCTGTGACTCCCTAAAAAAAGGCAAGATGAAGACATTTAACTTACTCAGATGCTTAACAAATCACTGTATTTATGTATATTGACAGCTTAATTCAATATATTACTGTTGCTTACCAAGATGACATGTTGCATGTAAGCAACTGAGATTACTGTTTGATCAGTAATCTTCTATCAAATCTATTGAGATGAGTTGTTTTATTATCTTGCCGTATAAATACATCATACAAAAGATCTGTCATTCCCTCGAGCTAAGCATGCATATACCTCATGCCAAATTGTATGCATCTGTGGCTAGTGTCTAAGACAAATTTAACAGCCCTGAACGGTAATCATCTTACTTAGTTACAGACTGAGGCTGAAGGACAGTGACTGAATGATTAATCATATGGCATGAATTTTCATGAGTACCAATCTATTTTATCCTTCAGATGGATGGATAGACATATTTCTGCAATATTTATGTCACCTTCGGTTATGTTCAAGCTTATGTACAGAAATCACTTAAAATAAAAATCTCTAAACCAAGAGTGAACGAGCACACATAGAATAAGCATCTTAGAAGGAGTTAAATATGTTGAATAAAGAAAGCTGTTTAGAACGTTATCTTTATTGCACTATTGACTTTTAAGGCACACATATCCACACAACAACATATAAAAACCTAATAAATACAATGGGTTTTTTCAAATGGTAACTTGGCACTAGCGGAAAGCATTTTACTTGTGCATAATGAAACGTTTGCTTTTTACCAATGCCACCGTCCCCCAAAGTTCTGTGGAGGGTCAGGTCTCAGGAAATTTCTGAAAGCTATAACAGGCAAATTATGAACATCCTGCTTTAAGCTTTCTGATGGCACGACAAAAACCATTGAATAAAACTTTTTTTATCAATTCATACAAACACAAAACATAGTTCAAGCAAAATTAAAATTGGAACCAATAGATGTTTTTAGGAGTGGGAGTAGTCCATAAGTGATGCTAAAATTATGGAGGCCCTATTCCCATTTCCCATTGACCTTACCATGGATGACAAAAGCCCATGGGGAGAAACCATCGGGAAACCAATGTACAGCCAGGCTGAGAAAACATGTGGACTGTAAAATGTCTAGATTTCAAGTCGCGTTAACAGGTAAGGAACTGATGTTTTCAATCTAGACCTGGGCAAGATTGCTCTCACCAGTTGGCCCCCACTAGCTCAGCAGTTTCTGGACAAAGTTGTCCAAAAAGGAATCCTAACCTTAACTTGCAGAAAATATCTCAACAGAAGTTAGCTGTGGCCAGTCTATATCCAGAAGAGGCTGTAGCTGGTGAAAGATGCTCTGCCAGACCTTCAGTAATATCTAAATCTCTGAGCGCTCCCAGTCTGCAACCTTAATATTTTAAAGGGAGCACAACTGATTCAAAAGAATTTGAATCTCTTGAATGGCCCTCTTACCTTCCTCTTATTGGCACCAGTTCTAGCCACTGATTCAACCATTTTGCTGAATCAGATGTATAAATCTGCTAGTGTGCATAAGGAAAGTAAGTTAACAATGGAGAGAGGTAAAGATCATGGAACACTCCTATATGTGTCCACTAGTTCTTGTAGAAATGTTTTTATTAGTCTTTCCCGAACTAGTACTCTTCAAATGTGAATTATATGTTCACCAAGCCCAAACACTTTGTCCCTGCTAGCCTTAGAGCAGGGGTCTCCAAACTTGACAACTTGAAGAGTTGTGGACTTCAACTCCCAGAATTCCTCAGCCAGCATGGCTGGCTGAGGAATTCTGGGAGTTGAAGTCCACAAGTCTTCAAGTTGCCAAGTTTGGGGACCCCTGCCTTAGAGTGATGGACATTACAAGCCAGTAGAATGTAAGGTTGAACACGACTGATTTTGTACTGTGACTTGCACCTCCAAATGGGCATTGCACAGGTACTAGATGCTTGTGGGCAAAGATAGCCATGCCATGTTATCATTTGCCCGTGCACATTTTCAGATGTAGCATTTTTATTTGATAACGTATGCACAAACTGCTACCCTACACTAAGAGCATGATCTTTTTATTAGCTTTTGGAAATGAATGGACAGGACTTGAATAGAGTTGAACAGTAATGAAGATTTAAAAATAAGATAGAAATTAATGACAGGAGTCCACGTTATAGTTATTTACATAGCGAAAGATGGTTGTCATTACATACTTTTAAAAATAATTTTCTAAATGAGTCGAGTAATCAATTTATCTCAGTATTTGTTTCTGAATTGCCTCCACTTATCCTTTCCAGTGTTGTCTTAGCAAATAAGCACTCACAGTGAGCTTCCTTCCTTCCTGATTGTTGTCACTTTTTTGTGAGACACTATTTTCAGCAATAGAATTCCTTCACTATCTACAAATTTAGCAAGCTACATAAGCACATAACAGTAAAGCTCCATGCTTCTAGCTGTATGAATAGCTTTCAGTTCTTTCCAAATGCATTTAATACTTTTACCCAGCCTGTTTGATCATTGCCTACACTGTTATATCGCAAAGCACTACCTATAACGGTGTTGGACTGTATCAAGGGGATGCCTGTAAATGCATGATCTCTTTAAAATTCTGCTATGGAAATGCCCTTTTAAAATGAACAGATGTTCATGTTCACATAAGGCTACATGCATTAGGGTGGAAGTCAGCTTTTGTGCTAATAGTCTAATGAGAAATGCTCTTTTCCTTCAGCAATTATCCAGCAGCAGGATTATTATTGGAACACAAAGCTTTCTTAGGAGGATCAACCATATTTACAAATCTCCAGCTATCAACTACCCATCAACTCTGTCTCAACCCAACTGCAGCAAAGTAGTGAGGTGAGTTCGAAATGCCTTTATAGCTTTGCCACATAACAGGTGATAAACTAAGAAGTTCTCCATTGACAGATTTTGACTACATTTCTAGGAAATGGAAGATACAGATTTAATTCTCCTAGGCAATTACCTATCTATGCATACAATTTTTAACTAACTTGGATGCAGGTTTTTTTCTGATTCCATCAAAAAATATACTTAAATGATCATTTGTCCAACAAATCTATTACCAGCAGATTAATTTCAAGGTTGTCCTATACATCACCGGCAGCTATATAATCTATAATGCTGATAATGCTCAGCAACTCATACTAATGATGCAGTGCTTTGCTTTATACTTTACTGTGCCCTTGTGAGTTAAACATAAAGGCTGCTGGAAGGTTTAACATTTATTTTATTATTTACTTGTTACACAAAGAAATCGTAGCCTTGACAAATACTGATTGCAAAAGACACCTTCCAAGACAAAATGAAGCTCACTTATTTCCCTGCAGGAAAATGAAGCTCTGCATCACATTCTAATTACTTTCACTCAAGTGGTTTAACATAATGTAAACACCTCCATAAACCTCTTTTCACAGCGAACAATCATTTCCTTTCCGTGGGAGTAACTAAGGTAAGTAGTCAGTATTTAAAGGAGTTTTATTTTACTGATTTGCAAAGATTTTAATGATCACGAGATTTACACTGAATAGTAATTTAAAGGGTGTAATTTCCAGAGATGTACTGTATTACATGTCTTTACATTCTGAATTTACACTTTGAACTAAGCTATGTTTATTTAACCACAGTTTGTTGAATAAGGCAAAAGCAAAATATCAGCATTTGTTTGGCCAATTCTTGATTTGTTTTTTTTCCCTTTTCACAGTTCTGTAAAGCCTTGGGCATGACATAAAACCAGACCAGGAATAAAACAGGAAATTATAAGTAACCGTGCATCTCATAATATGACTCAACACTAAGCCACAATTATACTCTATAAACCCAAAACAATCTTGATTCTAACCTATAGTTTACTTTTTAAAACAAGCCATGGTTTAGCCATTAGCCCAACTGACAATCAAACTACATTGTAGCTAACCATAATATAAAAACCTAGCAATTATTAAACTTAATCTCATCCTGTGATTTCCAATAGTTAAGTAGTGCTATTACATTAAAAACTCCACTGTCTTGGTGTTGTACCTTCCATTAGTGTAATGACAAAATCGCAATGATTTTAATAAAAGTGGATCATACTGAGCATTAGGGGTGCAAAAGAAATCTATTATGCATTTGAATGGGGTTTTTTGTTATTTCATCTGTGTACTTTTCAGATCATCAGAACAGTAATGGATAAAAACCAGCAGCTCACAGTCAAATGTCTATAATTTTTAGGCATCTGGAATTTATATAACGAACTCTGCCAATTCTAGAAGTGTATAGTTTGAAATACCAATTACATGAATTCCTTAGTGATACACCTCCATGCCTAAACCAGCAGCTGAACATTATACAATATATTCCACGCCTTTACAGAAATTCACTTATTTATATCAATGTAATGTTATGTAACATTGCATATGAGCTCACGGATTAATTTGCTTCTCTTTTCACACCTTCAAATCTTTTCATGTTGCTTCTTATAAAAATTGCAGATAAAAGTCAACATTCATCTCCTACCAAAGGTTTTAGATCCACTGAAACATAATATCATCTGAGGAACAGAGCATAATGAATGACCACTTATCTGTCCATCTCTTTGCAGAGATCGAAACATCCATATAAGAATTATGACTGAGCAATTTCAATCGTTTTTTGCATTGAAAACATAGCCTTTGGGGGAACAAAGTCACTTATTTTCCTTTCGTTTGTTTCTTTCAGTGTATATTGGTGCAGTTTGTCATACTAAAAATAAGTTGGAACAGTAATGAAAATAACGCAGAAGAGATAAATAACAAATTTAAGAAACCAATTTAAATTTCTCTTCATTCAGTGCTATTTTTATGGAAGAAGGAGGGTCAGTTATACAGTAAAGCTGAAGTTGTTTTTTTTTAAATATTCCATTCCCTGATTTAATTCTTTAAAATAGGTCTTCTGCCTGTAATGATTTGAACTAATGTGTCTTGGGTTTTTAATTCAGGGAAAAACAGGCAAGTAATATTAAAAAATAATTTGAAAGTTGTGTGTGGAGAATTGTGTTTTCTCATGGAGCTCAGCTGTGATGTTGTGTTCTTTTTCTGTTCTATACTTCAATATGCTATATTAATCAATTTCAAATATGCATGAATTGACTCCAGAGGAAACTCTGTGATATGCATGTGCTGTATATTCATAGGTTGCATATGCTGGACTATTCAGAAAATATGTTAATGACTCACCCTATTATAAAAATATATTACATTTCTACTTGCCTCGTTAATAATTAGCTTCTAAGGCAAAGAATCATCACTGCTTTCATAATTAAAACATGTTTCAAGGTTAAAGTTTGGGCAAACTATATAAAAGTCTAACTGTAAATCTATCATCATTAGCCAATTGTACTAAAGATGGAAATTACAATATGAAGTTCCGTGCACCAGCATCTTACTCTTCTGCTAGCTTGGATACCACCAAGATTAGTTCTCTTTATCTATATCGCCATTTTTTATGGCAAAAGGATTCATAAGATGCATACATCTCTGAGCTAATGCATATTCCTTTATTCATTGCTTTATATTAATGGACATTGTATGTCACTGATGGAGGACACCTGGATGCAAGCAATGAGTAAAATAGTTTTTTTTTCATGAAAAGGCTATTATTTCTTTTACCAAGTTATGGAATTTTATTCTTGTCCTCACATCATTTGCATGTACTTTTAATTTTCAAAGTCTGTCTTTTCCAAGAAGGGGCTGTCTGCAACATCCAGAACAGTGCTACAAATCATTTATACCTTCATTACATCCTGGGCTGCTTGGGAAATTCTGAGAATTTTTTCCTATTCAATAGTGAGCTACTTAGAATTTCTGAAATTGGAAATAAATTTCTAAATTATTTTTTGCTTTTTCTTTGCCTTCCGGAACACGGATTCCAGAAGACATTTCTGACAATGTCTGCAGGTTAGAATAATACAAGCAAAACTGTCTTAGAACAATAACCTAAGCTTCTTTAAATAAAACTTTTAAAAATCTGACTTGGTTTCCCTGCTGCATTTTTAAAATGAGGATGAAGTTACTGAAATGAGAAAATCAAATCACTTCAGGCAATATATATGGTATATCACCAGGACAAAACCTTTGATTTGTATTGGCCAAACTGGACCTGCTGGTGAACGGGAATATCCCCATTAGGAAATGAAAAACACCTCTCTACAAGTTACCATATCCTCTTTTGTGGGATGAATATGGACTTAAGACAGCTTCTGTTTGAATTATGTATCCAGGCACAATTATCTTTATTTGATTATTTGAATTGTTTCAGTGACTAATCTTTCTTATCTCTCTTAACACACAAGACTCTCCAAGGATGCAGGTTCCCATCTCAATTCTTGATATATTTTTTTTAAGTTAAAAAGTGAACTACAGTACATCCAACAAAGGATTTTATTTCTCCCTCTGAATTGTTGAAAAGGGATTATTTTTGCTATTACTACATTTACAGTCTAAGGACAGAATGAATATATAGCAGTGAGTGAAATGTCAACCAAATAAGGCTTAGATAATTCAGGACGGCTTTTGTTAAAAGAAGCTAGATGTCAAGAAGAACAACTGAAACAATCTGACAGAACAGAATACAAAATGCACAAATGGGAGAATGTTTAAGGGGATATTTAGAACATTAGAAAAGGAAAAGTAAGAAATAATGTATAAAAAAAATACCCTTTAGAATCGGGATTAGAATCCAGAGGTTGGGTAAAACATATTCAGAAGCAAAAAAAACTGGATTATGGTGACTACCAAAAGTAAAATGAATTGCCATTGATGGATATTTAGCAAGGTAAATAATTTACAGCCAGCAAGCCAAAGTATGAGCTAATTGGATATGGGGCCAAGAAAACCATTATAAGATTTCCCATATTGTTGCTAAGAAGAGCCATATGGTATGGATTAAGAAATAGTTAATCCTGTCTCCAGTGTTATTTTTCCAGTCTGAACTTCATACATCTCTACTCAAAAATAATATTTGTCCTATAAAGAAATATGTAGATTTTTAGTATAGATGACAGAGATCATATATTATTGACACTGGTATGTTTTCCCTTCCCCACCAAAATCCAAGGTTGACCTTTGCTGCTGACTATAACAACTAAAAAGAAGACCTACTTGTGGACCTTTTATATCACATTAAGATGTGACAATTAGCCCACAGAGAGATTGAATATTAGGCTACAGATTAGCCTCAATTACATGGATCTGACACTATTTGCTTCCTCTCTTTTTTCTCATTGTTGTGTTCCTTGTTGTGTTTTCTGTTCAGTTATGCAAAGTCCGTATTTTATCCTGTGGTATAGTTTTTATGAGTGGTTTAGTTTCAGTTTTAATGCATTTGCCAGGGATGTTTCAGTGATATCGATAGTGATTATGTTTCTACTTTGGGGTTGAACTGCCATGGTTTCAATTAGATTGCAGCACTAGTACAAACTGGAATAAATAAATGAACAAATAAATACATTTTGCTAACAATGGGGAGAGATTTCCCAGTGGGATTGTGGTCAGCAGAGGTACATTAACTTGCACCGGTTAGAGGCAAATGACAATAAATGTACTTTCTGAATTCCTGACCAGCTCAATGAACGCTTGCTTGTAAGAAAACCAAGACCAATATGAAAAATGACACATGACATATATAGCTTGCTAGTTTTTTAATCATTTGTTCACATATGCTAATGAGCACAATACTTTACATTGCCCCGTGCTGTAAATTGTTACAAGTATTCTGTAACATCATTTTAGTGGCAGATCACCTCTTGGGCATACAAAAATCTCAGCTTGGGCCCCTGGCACTTCCAATTAAAAGAAGGAAGAATAACAATGTTAACAGCCCTTGTGCAAAATGTTATTTATTAGATTTAACTTTCATGCAAAAGCTCAAGGCAGCATACATAGCGCTCCTTCCTTCCATATTTTCCCCACAACTTTCCTGTGAGGTATATTAAACTTAGAGTGTGTGAAATGGCCCAAATTCGCCCAATAAGCCTCTGTGGATGAGGTAGATCACAGCCTTGATCCCCTAGCTAAATAATTTAATCACTACACCACACTGGCTCTCAAAATTGTCAGAAAACTGCTGGCAGTTAGAAGTGACAGTAAGGAATTAGATGGGCAAGTGATCTCCTTGGGTTGAAGCTAGCCCCTTGATCTCTCTCATTGTTAGTGTTTCTGCAAAACCTATTATGCAAAAACTCTGATTGGAGGAGACTTGTCCAAACATCTCGGATTTCATCAAGAATGCCCTCCTATCACAGCAAGCAGTCAAGAAAGAAAGAAAAAACAAACTGAGGTTCCATTAGAGAGTCTGAAAACAGCTACATCAGAGAGTAGCTCATTCTGTGATCAAGTAAAAATAGCTCATAAAAGAGTCATAAGCTTTGCCAATAACTAGACAGCTAGAACTTTATCAGCCTTTTCATTTACCCGACCTCTGCTGAAATTTAGCTGCTGTTGTATTTAACTTACAATACTTACAATGTGGTCTGCATGATTTTGCTCTCTCCAAGCAAGAGGTGGAAGACAGAGACCACTTACCAAGCTGTGTTTATCCTTTACCGGGCCAAAACTACTCATCAGTGTGCTTTTTGTATTGATTTTGAGGATATCACCTGTGGATGTGCCAACATAGAAGTAGCTGTCATCATCTGCCATCTGGGGAAGGGTGAGGAAATGGATTAGAAACCATGCTTCCCACCGTTCATTGGGGTGAGTTAACAGCTTTGATATTCTATAATGTAAATTCAATGCCATATTTGTACCTGACTTACAGAAATAAAGACTGGATGCCATCGCATATAAAAGGACTCAGATACCTATATTTTAAATATTTGATGTTATGTGTCTATTGTCCTTTCTTTATATTTGTCTACTGTATGCCGCACCTTCCAAAAATCTTTTATTGGTGATTTTTGCAAATTTACTGAGCATCATTTAAGGAAAAAGCAGTCATTCATCTAAAATAAATGTGTGCTGCATACCACTGCAGACACACACAAAAGGAGTAAAATCTCACAAGGTTGTTGAAGCTACAGCCTTGGGCATTCAAATCTCAAATCCCAATATTTCAGACCGGAAAGCCAAACCCTTATAAAATTTGATGAGACCACAAGAGGATGGCCTTGAATGTTTTTCTAAATAAAATTGAATTAATTTTGGGGTCTCATAGGACTGGTATCAAGATCCTCGTGAGCACCTCACTGCCAACTTGTTTATCCAATAGTTTTCATAAGTATCAAATGACAATGTAAAGATCCACATAAAGAAAAGAAAAGCTGGGAACTATTGCTTTAACATAAGCTCAGCAATAAAAGCAATTGCAACACTGAATAAAACACAATAATAGTTTTTAAAAGGGTCTAGAGTCTAGACACACACAAAAGTCTTTGCTTTCACAAAGACAATACTTCCAAAGTAGGGCGCCATTGTAAAAGACCTGCACACAGCCGGGCTGTAACTTCAAAAAAATAGCAAGACCCAGAGGTAGTGCCTCATTATAATTATGATCTTAACATACAGGCAGAACAAAAAGGGAAAGGGACTGGTGACAGATTCTTCAGTTATATCTTCCAGAATAATCATTCCAAAACGTATTTGTAATAATCATTTCAAAATGAAGTCATATTGGCACAGTGGTTAGAATGCAGTATGGCAGGCTGACTCTGCCCACAGCTAGGAATTCAATCCTGACAGGCTCAAGGTGGACTCAGCCTTCCATCCTTCTGAGGTCAGTAAAATGAAGACTCAGATTGTTGGGGGGAATAGGCTGATTCTGTAAACCATTTAGAGAGGGCTGTAAAGCACCGTGAAGCGATATGTGAGTTTCAGTGCTATTGCTATTGCTGAGTCTGTTACTTTTGTTGGTTCTTATTGGTGCTACGGTTAATTATGATTTGAATTGTTTCTAAGTGGGAGGTGACAACATATGGTTTTGGACACACTTCATCCTACTGAATTAGATGTTTAAACTCAAATGCACCTTTCCCAAACTAAGTAGAATTTCTATAAATTGTTCTTTGGGGTTGTTGTTTTTTGCTTACCTGACTCAATTTTTATACATACTATAAATCACAAATCAGCAGATGTCTTACCATGGCGCAAGCAACTACTCTTTTCAGCTGTCCTGTTTGACACTCAATTGGTCGGATTTTTCTGTTGGGTAAATCCAGTTCCCATACTCGAATAGTTCCACTGAAGCCAAAGTATGTATTTCATTATTAACTTAAGACAGATTTATATCACACAAAACACTTTGGTGCAGTACTAAAAGATGCATTTACTGTTTGTCTTCCAGACAGTTATCCTAACTTCAGGAAAGTAGCTGACAACTTGGTATATGCCAAGAGATTGTGTTGGGAATGTAAGTACTTTCTTATTCTATTTTTGGGAGTTAGCTTCATTATGTGATTGATTAAAGCAGTTTGGAAAAGAGTGAAATATTTCCTGACTACAGCACTGGTATTTCTCATTTAGTGATCACAATTGGGGCCCAGCAACTCAGTCATTAAGCTAAGTGGTTGCTAAGTGAAACCATGACTATATTACTAATCTTACGTCAGCTTTCCTTCACTTTACATAATTCTGAAGGTCATTAATGTGAAGGTAGGTCACAAAGTTAATTTTTCATCACTGTCATAACTGAACAGTCACTGTCATAACTGAACAGTCACTGTTCAGGCCTTCTCTGTTGGAGCTCCCACCCTTTGGAACGAGCTACCCCCAGAGATCCGGGTGATTCCGGATCTCCCCTCCTTCCGCCGCGCCCTCAAGACATGGCTATTCAAGTTAGCAGGACTGGCCTAAGGGTTATTTTAATTTGGTTTTAAAATAATATATATAAAAAAATATTCGAATTTTCGGTCTTAGAATAATGTTTCATTTTAATTAACATGTTAAGTTTGGCATTTTTGTATTTGTGTATTTGTTTTTGAATGGTTGTAAGCCGCCCTGAGTCCGCAGGGAGAAGGGCAGGGTAGAAATATAATTAATAATAATAATAATAATAATAATAATAATAATAATAATAATGTACAAGGTAGTTGCTAAATGAGGACTATCAGTATTGAGCAGTAGCAAGCTACAATATTTTTGATGGGAGCTTTTTTCAATTAATTGTATCTAAGTAGGTAATCATTCAGATACAGCAAACCCCAAAGGAAACAAAGGTTACTCAAGCTGCTGATTGCACACTAGGAGTGGTAAAAGAAAACTTTCAAAACTTCTTCCAATGATAAAATGCCATGGAGCAGAGCAATTTTACCACAGTGTTTGTTTTGCAGACATTTCAGCATAAACATTCTAGAACTCTTAAGGTAAACTCTTCTCATCAATCATATAATTTGCGAATTTAGCTTTTTCTATAGTTGATCAATAAAACAGATCTGGGAAGGTCTAAGTCATGCTGTAAATCCAAAGCACTGCAAAGGCAAAAAGGCATTTGGATATAATAAACATAGCAGCCATTACAATTTCACACAGCAGCTGTGCAGAACAGTCCTGCTGTTGCTTTAAGGAGTTGCAAGTAAGTGCTATAGTTATACTCCCATGCCTTCTGAAGCTCTTTCCCTTCAGATCTACATGCTCATAGAGTACACTCAAGTGTACTGCTGGACATTCAGAAGCCAATTTATTGTCTAGCAATTCTGAAGAAAAAAAGCATGGATGTCTTTGGTTTAAGAAATTTTCCATTACAGGTAGTCCTCAACTTATGACTCTAATGGAGCCTGCTCATTACAGTTGTAAGTCATGACAGTCATAGAGTTGAGTAATCATGTGACCAATTCAATTTTATCACCTTTTTTTGCAGTGCTTGTTAAGTGAATCAGCAGTCATTAAGCAAACCCATTGCTTGTTATGGGACATTCTTGCAGAAGACCAGAAATGCTGGTTCTGGGGAAAAACATTGTAAACCACGGTCATTAACTATGGCCCAGTTGCTGAGCGCCTAAAATGTGGCCATGTGACCCTGGGGGAAGAGCATCCATCAGAACTTTGGAATCAGGTTGCAAGTACCTCTTGGGAGGTATTCATCATAAGGCCAAAGAATGGCTAAGCAGCCAGTTATAAATCAAGGACTACTTGTAAATAATTTTGGGACAATGCAATTAACAGGAACAGTACATTTTTAAAGAACTGAATTTGATCGCCTTTCCTCAAAAACAAAGCCATACTTTCCCGCACTGATGAACATCTCATCCTTGCAGTTGGAATAGACCAGGGTGGTTGGATTCCCAGCACTACGAGCAGAAGCAGGACTACCACAGATGGCTTCTTTCTTTTGGACACTCCATACCACAACGCTGTTGGGAAAGCAAGAGATGTATTTGTCTTCAGTGAATAGTTATTTTGAACTTGATATGATTGTGTTTTGAGGAGAATTTCTTCCAAATAAACACAATTGTAGCTATCTTTGGTTCAGTCATTATGCAAACATTAAGGAGGTGGAGAAGCGCTCGGTGGGGTTTTATTTCAACCTATTTTCCAGTATTTATGAAGTTTTTGAGATCAAATGAATTGTCTCGCCTACTAGAGGAGAGGCAAGAAAATTGACTGAATGGAAAAAAAGAAGGGAGTAGAAATTATTGTAGTTCTTTGATTGCTCATTCATTTCATGCCAATCTAATGACATATTTGTATAACACAGTAAGCCTTCATTGCTTAGTTAAGAGTTTGGTGAAAGGTGAACATCTTACAATAGCTAAACAGCAGAAATAAAACAGTATTTATAGTGGGTTTCAAGAACCAATTAGTAGTTTATCGCATCACGTGTATCTTGGATAAACAATAAATTCTCAATTTCTGTGAGATGGTCAAAGAATCTTCCTCAAGAAACAGAGATGGTTGAAAGGAATACTGGGACATGGATTTCATTTGATTGCCATCTGTCACACAGTTCCTCATTTAATTTTTCAAGTAAGTTGAGGCGGGGGGGGGGGATTAGGTCTCCCTCATCCAATATAGATTGATTCCCAATGCAATTAAATCCTTTGCAGAAAAGAAGCCAATCACAATTTCACATTGCTTCCAGTTGCCACTGCAAAGGCAGCTAGGATATTTATTCCCAGCAAACAGAAGTTGGGTACTACAAAACCAGTGCGGAAGACTGCAAGGAAAGGTTTCCATGATCATCAACAGAGTGCCCCAAGAGAGAATCTCTCATTTATGCTTTATAATAAAGTTGGAGAATTGTGAGGCCACATCCAATATTTGGTTGAACTGACTCCTTGATAGGCATGTAGTTGATTTAAAGTAACTGACATCTGTACACTGAAATACAAGGCAGTATTTTCCCCAAGTTAAATGGGGAATGCCTGTTCTTATAAAATTACTGGAGGGGAATAAATCTCATTTGCACCGTTCCCTGGCATGTCATGCAGTAACACAATCTTTTGTTCATAGAATTTATAACCCAGTTCAAAGATTAAACATGCCAGCCAAAAAAAAAAAAAGAATACTGACAACTTATCCATGTTTTTGAGTAAGCACACTGCAAAAAAATAAAATAAAATAAAAATACTTCCCATTATTAAATTGAAGTGAACACAGGACATACATTTTCATTATGTCACTTCACTATGTCCAAACCAAAAGAATACAATATGCCATCTTATTTGCTTTTTGTTTCTAGTGACATGCATCAAATACAGAAATACTGTTCTTGGTAATAAGCATGATGTACAAAATAAATGCATCTACTAAGTCCATACAATTCATGAACCAACAAGCCAAACACACTTCTAACAATCTTCTCATTTTCTTGGTTCAGGTAACAGAGCATCTAGTATGGCACAAAATACAGATAGTTCTCGAATTACAACAGTTCATTTAGTGACCGTTCAAAGTTACAACAGCACTGAAAAAAATGACTTATGACTATTTTTCACATTTATGATCATTGCAACATCCTCATGGTCACATGATCAAAATTTGGATGCTTGGCAGCTGACAGTTGCAATGTTCTGGGGTCATCTGATCCCCTTTTGTAAACTTCTGCCAAGCAAAGTCAATGGGGAAGCCAGATTCACTTAACAACCGGGTTACTAATTTAACAACTGCAATGATTCACTTAACAACTATGGCAAGAAAGGTCTAAAATGGGGCAAAACTCGCTTAACAAATGTCTCACTTAGCAACAGAAATTTTGGGCTCATCGTAGTTGTAAGTCGAGGACTACCTGTATAGCTGGTAAATTCCATTAAGCTAAGTAAGCATGCTTGGACAATTATATTTGTGTGCAATCCTTATGAATGGTATTCTCATTTCCTCTTTCTGTCAGAAATTCACAAATTTTCCTCATAAATTGCAAACTTAACTGGAAAGGGAGACTAGGCAAAATGAAGTAAAGGATATACAGAGGAGAATATATTATGCTTCTCAAAGGCTGAAGAGAACAGGCAAAAATCATTAAAAAATGCATCACGCCATTCCTAAACGATGGATTCACACTTCAAACTTGCTGCATCATTCTACAGTTGCAAATCAATTATCTTGTTTACTTGCTTTGTCACTTCAACTGATCAGATTTAATAGTGATTCTTTTAGCATTACTGGTAGTTCTCACTTACCAACCACAATTAGAATTGGCAACTGTCACTAAGTGCTGTGGTCACTAAGTGAAAAATCACATGATTGTGCCAGACTTACAGTGTCACTTCCACACCCATTGTTAAGTGACTTACCACAGTTGTTAAGAAATATATTATGTAACCACAACTTGCAATTTCACTTCCACATTCTCTATTAATTCCGCTAGCTGAAAGTTTGCAAATAGTGATTACATTTATTTATTTATTTATTTATTTATTTATTTATTTATTTATTTATTTATTTATTTATTTATTTATTTATTTATTTATTTATTTATTACATTTATATCCCGCCCTTCTCCTTGCGGACTCAGGGCGGCTGACAATTGGATAAAATACTAACATATTATACACCTAATTAAAATTTGATTAAAAAGAAATATTTAAATTTGTCAGATTAAAAGTAATTAAAACCCCTTT